AAATAAATAAATAAATAAATAAATAGTTAATTAAAAACTTTAGGCCAGGTGTGGTGGCTCACACCTGTAATCCCAGCACTTTGGGAGGCTGAGGCAGGCAGATCACCTGAGGTCAGGAGTCAGAGACCAGCATGGCCAACATGGTCATGGCCAACTATTAAAAATATAAAAATTAGCCAGGTGTGGTGGTGGGTGCCTGTAATCCCAGCAACTTGGGAGGCTGAGGTAGAGTAGCTTGAACCCAGGAGGCAGAGGTTGCAGTGAGCCGAGATGGCACCACTGCACTCCATCCTGTGCAACAGAGTGAAACTCTGTCTCAAAAAAAAAAAAAAAAAAGTTTTATACCTGTAATCCGATCACTTTTGGGAGGCCAAGACAGGCAGACTGCTTGAGGCCAGAAGTTTGAGACCAGCCTGGACAATATAGTGAGACTCCCATCTCTACAAAAAATAATAATAACTAGCTGGGTGTGGTGACTCACGCGTGTAGTCCCAGCTACTCAGGAGGTTGAGGCGGAAGGATCACTTGAGCTCGGGAGGTCAAAGCTGCAGTGGGCTGTGATCGCACCACCACACTCCAGCCTGGGTGACACAGTGGGATCTTGTCTCAAAATAATAATAATAATAGTAATAATAAACAACTAAAACAATAAAAACAAGTGAAGCAACGATGACTAATGAAGTGCTTTAAAGGCAAGGAGACGGGGCCAACAGGGACAGGGAAGTTACTGTACACAGTCTGAAGAGATGACAATTGAGGACAGGGTTAGTCAGCTACACAAGGAGTAAAAAGCCCAATTCCGGGCTTTGAGCCAGGAATCGATGGAGAATTTGAGGAATAGAATAAAGCCTGGTACAACTGGAGCCTCGTGAGCCAGTGGGGAAGGAGAGCCAGTTAAGATGCAGACACCAGTAGGTGCCGAACTATGGACTGAACTTTCCCCTTAATGTCCCCCTCCACCCTCAAAACCCAGAGATCTGGAGGGCGCAGGGATATCGGGGGGCTTGGAGGGAAAGACACAGAGGGGGCGTCGGTAGCACCTCGGACAGCACCATCCCTGTCCATGGTGCTGACAGTTCGAGGCACTGACAGTCGGTGGAAATGTAGAGGTGGGAATGTAGAACCGTGCAGCCGCTGTGGAAAAGTTTGGCGTTTCCTCAATTCAACACAGAATCTCCATATAACCCAACAATTCCACTCCTGGGCATCTAGCCAAGGAAACTGAAAGCAGGGATCCAGAGAGTTGTACACCTGTGTTCACAGCAGCATGAGTCACCATAGCCAAAAGGTGGAAGCAACTCAAGTGTCCAACATATGAACCGATAAACACCACGTGGTCCATTCACACAACGGAATATTATTCAGTCATAAAAACAAAAACAGTTCTGGCCGGTCAAGGCGGCTCACGTCTGTAATCCCAGCACTTTAGGAGGCCAAGGTGGGCATATCACTTCAGGTCAGGAGTTTGAGACCAGCCTGGGCAACATGGTGAAACCCCATCTCTACTAAAAATACAAAAATTAAGGCCAGGTGTGGTGGCACATGCCTGTATTCCCAGCACTTTGGAAGGCTGAGGCAGGTGGATGGCTTGAGGCCAGGAGTTTGAGACCAGCCTGGCCAACATGGTGAAACCCCATCTCTAAGAAAAATACAAAAATTAGCCAGGCATGGTAGTGCTCGCCTGTGGCCCCAGCTATCTGGAAGGCTGAGGCATGAGAATCGCTTGAATCCAGGAGCGGGAGGCTGCAATAAGCTGAGATTGCATCACTGCACTGCAGCCTAGGCAACAGAGAGAAACATTGTCTCAAAAATTAAAAAAACAAAAACAAAACAAAACAAACAAACAAACAAAAAACCCAAAACCCCACAAAATTTAGCTGGGCATGGTTGCGGCTGCCTGTAATCCCAGCTACTCAGGAGGCTGAGGCAGGAGAATCGCTTGAACCCAGGAGGCAGAGGTTGCAGTGAGCGGAGATCATGCCAC